TTATTAGGGCCCATGGGGTATTGATTTCCTTACTATTAGCTTAATTATGTTCATGGTTGTAAATATTGGATTTATGACAGCACGGGTGTTCTGACCAAGGCTTCCTGAGACAGTAACAATCACACACTGTTTTCAAAAACCTTGTTTTTATTTCAACAGCTGTGAAATATATGCATTCACAGCCCATAATGAGTCCCAAACAGTTTGTGAATAGTCCAACAGAAGTCTGCCCTGCCCTCTTTTTGGGATAAAGCTGATAAGCACCCACCTTTATCTCCCTTGAAATGCTACCAACGACTAAATTGCCAATTAGCTGTACAAGGCCAAATGGAGCACAAAGTCAACATGGAGCTTCAGATTTTAAACCAACCAGGACGAACAAAGTTGCTTCCTGCAAAGGCTCATGTCCCTTTGCTCCTCTTTTATGTCTTATGGGAGGGACCAATCATCTCCAAGCCTTACTCCTGAGTCGCTCCTTTTGTCTTAACTGTTCTTGCCTTCTGGCAGCTCTGCGTAAGTACGCACTGGGAACAAGCTCCCCTGTTCCTCTGCTTCGCTGATGTCAGATTCTGGAGGCTCCGGAATCAGCACATAACTCTCAGATGACCCTGTCCCCATCTCTGTGTCGGACACAGATCCCTCGTCTGAGCCCTCCCCAGACTCCAGGACTGGCCCATGTTCCTCCCCGCTGTCCAATTCTGTTGCCAGCCCTGCAGGCTGCCAGTGAACCACAACAACAGGTATAGTTGAAAACAATGTTTTTTCTTAAGAGAATGACACAACAGTGATATTATCTTATTTTTTCCTTGTCTTAGTTTTGTAGGAGAAAAATACTGAAAAACTTAAGGTTCTCCCACATGAATATTTTTTGTTTTAAATATTCCAAAACAATCTTTGCCTTTTTTATTTATAACGTATAGTAATCATGAAATCATATCTGTCAATGTCATTCTGTATTTTCCCAGGATGGGCAAATCTTCTTGAGAAAAGGATCATGCGCGGCCTAGGTACAGTATTTATATACATTTATTTGGCATATTTATTTATCACATTTATATAATATAAACATCTGCTCAGATTATCCTGCCAATTCTGGTTAATTTTGAATAAGCTCCTTACAATAACTAATGAAAGGGGATTTCTGGTGGTATCTGAAGAAATAATAAGAGATTCCTTGTTGATAATACATCTGTTTCATGTGTCCATGATAGCTAGGGTTATACATACAGTACCCTGAACTATAGTTAGGTTTTTTTAGTTCAAGTTTCATATGTTGAATGAGCTTAGCCACTATGTTTTGTACATGTGATTCAGTACATTGTATGATTCCATGCAAATGGCTTATTAAGCAAACCATGATTTGCTTAAGCTTAGCATGATGTGTTAACTCTAGTCTGGATGTGTTATCACATCTTTAGTAATCAACCATAATTTTTTGTTAGTTGTCTTAAGAGATATTTGTGATGCCTTATTTTGCAGAGCAGAAAACCAGTCCTGACCAGCTGCTAGAAGCGTGTTGTGTCTGTTTCCTGTTTTCTGAAGCAGTAAACCTTTTGATAGTTTTGTCTGTGTGTATTTTGTGAGTATGATGTATTAGTCACTCAGCTTTAGCTACAAGCTATTAAAAACAGAGACAGTCTCTTAATAAATGAGATTACTATATTGAATATGAATAAACATGATCCACAACCTGGATATTTTATAAGAACACTCCCAAAATATTTTGAGTCAATGTCAACATGTTTAGAACTTTTGCTAAAAGCTACAGATTAGGATTTAACTGATGAATAGTGGTATTTATTTATTTATTTATTTATGTCAATCTCCTTAACGTATGTGCTGCATTTATATGACACTTTCATTCTATTTTGTATGCATTATCCATTTTGATTGTTTAAAAATCCTATCCATCTAATTAAAAAAAAATGCAAGAGTCAGTTTATTACTAAAGCAAAAGTTCCTTTTACTGCCGAATAAGACTGATTGCAATATTCTGAGTCTCCAGTTTATACAAAAATGTGTGGCAATTAAGTAAGATTACATCTCAACCCCTAAACTTCAAAATGGTTTAATATGGAACCTATACATCTATAAAAGCAGAGGGAGAGAAGAAATAGTAACCTATATATTTCTAAAAAGAGCTTGGGCAACCATTTGGTGGTTGAACAAATATTTAACATGTAGATGGTGAAGACTGCCGTGGGAATCATGATTGTGATGTAAAGTCAGAATTGGGATCATGTCATATATACGGGCAAGGTTTTGTGTTTTATTTCCAGGGGTTACTTGTTTTTGTTTATAAGAATTATGCTTAATTTAAAAAAAAAAATAGAAGAGGTTATCTGTAGCTGAGTTGAACTGTAAAGTCCTTGATGCTCTCTGAGTTTGGTTGTTTGGTTGTAGACATTTCATTACTCAACTGGATAACATAATTACAGAGTACCAAGAACTGCACATTCAATTTTTCCTCCTGGAGCTCAAGATGGTAAACAGTGCATGCCTTCTCCTTATATTTTTCCCACAAAATCAAAATGTACAGTATTTTGGGGGTATAAAAGAATGACTGGCTCAAAGGTAATCAGGAAGTTTCTATGGCTGAGGGTGACCTAGAACCTCAGTTGCATGCCTTCCTGGTCCAACAAATTAACCATTCCATTAAAGTGATGATGGGGAGGGTGATTGGTTTTTTTTTTTTTAAGAAGAGCAAAGTGTATGTTTAACTTATGTTAGGGCCAACTGTGGAATATGGAAATATGGATTCTCACAGCAGCCTTCACCAACTACATGTTAACCTCCACACATTTCATTTCAATGAATGATCCAAATTTTATCCTACCTTTTATCCTACCTTTATCCTTACTGGGTAATTTTATGCACTTCTGTCATATTATCCCTATCTGTTACCCAAATCCTTGACGTAATTTATGTATAATAAATTGCTGCTAATAACTATTTTGGTCGTACTCTTTTTGCATATTTTCCCATTCTGTAACATCTTCTCTGTGATCTGACAGAGAAGATGTTACAGAATGGGAAAATATGCAAAAAGAGTACAACGAAAATGTGAGTAGGATTAAAATTTGATCATTCATTGAAATGAAATGTGTGGAAGTTAACATGTAGTTGGTGAAGGCTGCTGTGAAAATCATGGTAGTGATGTAAAGTCACAAGGAGGATCATGCATTCAGATTTTGTGCAGGACAGATTTTGTGTTTCTTCCAGGGATTGATTGTAAAAAAAATATTTTTTTTTCACAATAGTTAGGAAATACTTTTTTACACAATGAATAGTTTAACTATAGAATTAATTGTCATCAGATGTAATGAAGATCACCAATTTAGTCAGCTGTAAAAGACTGGACAAATTCCTTAAAAATGAAGTCATTTATTAGTAGTTGTAGCAGCAGTAACGTACCTCATGAAACCCAGGCAGCATCATATATAATAACTCCTTGGAAGAAATAATGGAAAAGTCTTCCCTTTTAATTGGTGTTCCCTAGCAGTTGGTATTTGAAATATGAATACAAGATATTAAAGATAGTCCTCACTTACCAACCTCAATTGGGACTGAAGCTATCACTAAATGACCTCATAAAGTGAAATATCACATCACCGTACCAACTTATAACATCAGTTCCAGCTGCAGTCATGAAGCAAATCACCTGCAGTTGTTAAGTGTAATGTCACATGATGGCGATTTGCGACTACTTTCTGGCTTCTCCACCAACTTCATTTGTCACAAGCCTGTTGTGAATGTTGAGTATGGTGACATGTGATTGAAGGATGCTGGAACCATCATAAATGCACAACAATTGTTAAATGCCCAAATTGTGATTGCATGACTGCTGGGACACTGTGATGGCATAACCGGTTGCAAATCTCTTTTTTTCAGCACTATTAAAACTTTAAACAGTCACTAAATGAGCAGTCAGTAAATGAGGACTACCTTTATACCTAAAGAATGGTGTACTACATATGTCAATTTCAAGTTTCCTGAATTTCTCCTTCTACTGAAATTTATGTATGCTTTGATGCCTAGTTCTCCAAATATACATACATATTGATTATGATTGTAACTATGACTATGACCTATGACCTATTATTTGCTGTTTATATGTACACTGTGAGCTTATGCACCAGAGAGAAATTCCTTATATGTCCAATCATACTTGGTCAAGAAATGAATTCTATTCTATTCTATTCTATTCTGTTCTGTTCTGTTCTGTTCTGTTCTGTTCTGTTCTGTTCTGTTCTATTCCATTCCATTCCATTCCATTCCATTCTATATATTTAAGTGAAGTTTTATATTCATAGATTTTGCAATGATTTCTTAATATCTTATATAATTATTTTCATGAATAATGGAGAAACATTTTTGTACAGATTTTGCCCAGTGTGTTTTAAAAAAATACAGTTAGCTATATGCAAGCTTTGAAATAAAGTTTTGAATTAAAACTTTCAGTTAACGTGTTGAGTTGAAAAGACAAAATTTTGCCTTCAGTATGAATTACAATTAATTAAATAAATGTATACGCTGCCCAATTCCCAATGATTTTGGGTGGCTAAATTAAATTACATTATTCCCTCTCTCTATTACCTTCCACTATTGCTTGTCAAATTCCTATAAAGAGTTGCTTGGTCATGGTATGGCATGGGAAAACCTCTGGTGGTCCAGTTCTTATGTAAACTAGAAACTACCGTTAAGGGCTCTAGGCTTCTGATGAATCCATCTAAAGCAGGGCTGTCAAACTCCCGGCCCGCAGACTGGATGTGTCACGGGCTGACCATGCCCACATCCGTTTTACCAAAGGGGGAAAAAGTCCCGATACATCATGTGACACCACTGTGATGATGTGAGTTTGACACCTCTGATCTAAAGGAACACAAATAATTGCAATCATCTTGCAAGCTTCCTTATATTTATATCTTAAAACCCACATTCATTTTCTTCACACTATTCTTTTCTGCAATTGATGAAATTTGATGATTGTTCAAAATTACCTGTTAAAACTCTTAAAGCTGCGTAGTTCTGGTATTTCTTCTGGCATAAACAATTTAGGATACAAAGCTTCCAGCAGCTCAGGATCATTACTGATGGCCTCAATCCAAGGTGATTGATAGTATTTTGGTACAGATGTAGTGTTGAACTTCTCAGGAGGAATTGTCTTCAAAGGTCCAGAGTAACCTTTAGGAGAAGGAGGATACTAACACATTTGAATTTGATAATAGCAGTTTCCCAATATATTTAGACAATTCATTGTTACTACATCTCCAGTGACTCTGATACAACATTATAACTACATTTTAATAATATTTTAAAAATAGGTAGCTTTAGGTCATATTCTGTGCCCTGTACCTTTGAAGTATTCTTGTTGAGTATCAGTGGCTTTGCTCTGGAAATAACAATTTGGTTTTACATTTTCATGTATTATGTACCAGGTATTATGAAGAAAAATCATATTTGGAAAGGATGGATGGAAAAAGGCAAAAGTTAAGCTTTAGATTCAAAACTTGTAAACATGAACTCTCCACCCTGTGCAAGATTTACAGCAGCTGTACCCTCCCTATAATAATATGAAACAACTTAAATATCTTCAGTAATACAGGTACAGATGGATATATAGAAATGTGAACAGTCAAGGAATTGAGGAGCAGCATGTCAGTCAAATGAGCAACCTACCACGAATGACCCAGATCAGGAGAAACCAGCTTGGCTAATTTCCAGCAGAAGTGAGGCATGCACTAATTAGCTGCCTTTGCAGCATCATTCCCCTTCCTAGCATGGTTTTTAAGTAGGTTAAGAAATAAAAGGATTTTAAAAATAATAAAGTGACAAGCAAATTTAACAGAAGATAATCCACTTGAACCAGTTAAGATCAAGAAGACCTTATTAGCTTATTATTTTAACAAAATATGTGTGACGAGTAAAACCATGGGAAGGGGAGACAAACTTGTAATAAAAACTAGGCTATACAGATATATGGGGGCACTTTGCTTCAGTGAAGCAATACTATGGATCTACAATGTGCCTCAGTGTTAGAACAGGATGGACAAATGGAGTGAAGCAGCTGACTGGATTGATTCATCTTCTGGGAATGGTGTAGCTCATTTTTTTTGAGTCAAGAGTCACTGTCTTGAATTGGATTCCTGCAATGATTCAAAACAACATATATGTAGCCTCCCATTATTTAAAGCAAGTACGTCGTGGCTATTTAATGGAAATGCTATCATTTAAAAAAACAATAAGTTGCAACTGGCATGAGAATACAGTTGGTCCCATGATTGTGTGCATGTACACACACTATCAATATTTATTCAGCAGTAAGTCATGCTGCGTTCAATAGTATACAGTTTCAGGAAATTGTGATGACAGTTCCAGCTTTAATTAAATAAATCTCCTTTGAGTCAAATCCATTATATGGCACTCATAAAAGAAAAAAATAGACTATGATCATTTTATACAGTAATTTATTTCTTACAAATTAGACAGCTCATGTTTTCCAAATGGTAAGAGAAAGGTTCTTTGTGTCTTGATGTTTCCGAATAAATAAAACAAGTTTTCTTACAGGAAGAGGTTTTTAAATACACCAGCAGAAAGTGTTTTTGCTGCCAGAAAATTAAATTATCCTCAGTAACTCTCATATAAAGGTTCTTTTAAATCTTTTTATTTGATTCAGAACAAGGGTAGGATTCAAATTTTTAACAACCGGTTCTGTGGGCATGGCTTAGGTGGTGAGCGTGGCTTGGTGGTCATGTGAGTGGGTGGACATGGCTTGGTGGTCATGTTATTGGCTGGGCATGGCCAACTCAATATCACTCACATTGAGGCACGCAGCTCCTTGACTGGCCTCTCATGACTGTGGGGATGCTGCAACAGTCGTAAGTGTGAAAAATGGTCATAAGTCACTTTTTCAGTGCCACTGTAACTTTGAATGGTCACTCCACACAAGCAAAGTACCAGCAAAGGAAGAAAAAAAAACTCCAGAGAAGTTCCTGAGACAGGAAGTCTAGTCCTGCCAAGAATGTAATAAGGGTTAACGGAGAGGCAGTTTCTGTAAGCAACACCAGAATGTTTCCTTCCTGTCTTCCTTACAGGATTAGGCCAGTGATTTCTTCTAACAATTGGTTCTCCGAACTACTTAGAATGTTAACAACCGGTTCTAGCGAATAGGTGCGAACTGGTAGAATCCCACCCCTGATTCAGAATCTGCACCTTCTAGGTAAACATGATAATACTGTGTCCATCTAGAAAATGTTAGATCTTATCAGTAACAGCAACCAGAACAACAAAATGCTAGCTTTATATAGCTTCCTTATTCACAAAGAATGCTCTGTGACTTCTCTTAAACCTAAAATTTTTTAAAAAAATCATGACAATTAATGCCTGACATTTATCAAAACAAATTGCATGAAGTGTCGTCTTACTAAATTCTAATCCAAACACGCTTAAAATAAACATCCAACTAAATTAAAATCTTCCAGGTAATCCATAGTAAATACACAAAGGAAGAATCAGAACTCTTTCCTCAAATCAAATTGTTGTTTTGAAACTATTGTATTTTTAAAATATGCATAATATTTTTAAAGTATTATTGTGTCCTCCTCCCAACCCACACAGAATATCAGTTTCTACTGTGAAGACTTCATAGCAGATAAATGCATTCAGTACGTGTAAATTAACAGATTATCTCTGTTTCAAAATCTCCCACTATATATCAATGGAGACTTGTGGAAAGAGTTCATAGTTTTAAATTTCTAGGAACTCATATTTCTGACAACCTTACTTGGTCAGTCCACACTATGGCCACTGCAAAGAAGGCCCAACAGCGCCTGCACTTTCTTTTTTTCTTTCTTTTTTAAACAAATTTTATTAATTTTAAAAAAACAAACAAAACATAAGACATAAAAGCATAAAACCTCCATAAAACCTATAATAGTTACTTATAGGTTTTAACAAGGCAAATAAAACATTATTTTATACAGCATAGTTCCACATTATCACATTTCCATTTAAACACATATATATCTTTTCCAAATTTCTCATTATTTCTCCCTTCACTTTTATTCAATTATATTTCTTTCTATCAAAGTTTTATTAATTCTCAATCAAACATAAACACACAAAATACAAAACATAAAACAAGACATAGAAACATAAAACCTCCTTTCTGAAGGCTATTTGTAGGTTTTGACAAAACAAATAAGACATTCTTTTATACAACATAATTCCAAATTATCATTTGTACATATATTTTCCAAATTTCTCATTGTTTCTCCCTTTGGTTTTATTCCTCCAAGGTTTTATTAATTCTGTTATACATATGTATGGTCAGGTGTGCTATTGCTACATATTCAACTAATTTGAACACCCTATCTTTGGCAGATTTTCACTTTTCCAATGTTATTCCAGGTTTATTCTTACCGTGGTCAGCATACAACTTTAATAGTTGGGATACTCTTCATTTATGCTTTGTGAAATTATTCCCAATAATATAGCTATGATTTTAATTCAGATTTAATTTTTAAAATTTTCAAAATATTGCAATATATTTCTTCTAATACTTTAGAGTTGTTGTTTGCATAAGTCCCATATTTGATAAAATGCCATAATCAATTCCACCTACAGACCATTTTACAGATTTTTTTTCCATAGCGCTTCCCATTGTTCCAGTGTAATTACAACTTTGAAATTTTACATCTACTTTATCATGAAATGTTCAATTTGTTTACATCTTTTTATCAAATTGCAAATTCATCTCCAGTAAAGATTCAGTTCTTCTGGATTGAGGGCTTCTAACAAAAAGTCCACTCTAAATTACCAAAGGCTTTTCCTTCATTCAACCTGCCTCTCTGTCCATACTACTTTTGCCTTTTTTTTCTTGTTGTTAATATATTCTAGTGTATTTATTATTAATCTAATATCTGTCATCTTTTTGGGAGGAATTTCCTCCATGACAACATTAGTTGCCTCCTCTTACCTAATACCAAGAAACTTACATTATCTGCAAAATTATTTATTTATTTTGACATAATCAGTCAATATGAACCTGTTTATTATTGACTTAAAAACTGCAATTTATCTAATCTAATAGTAATTAGAACTTCATATCTGATCTTATTCACTAGAAGTTAAATGTAAGTTCTGTGTTCCACACTGAACTATCATTCTTCCCAGAGTTTCTAAAGAAAGCACTGTGATTGATTTGTTTAAATGCTAGTTCAAAAGTTTTACTTACAATACCTGTAAAATCTCCTAACTGGAATGTTTCTATCCCAGTCACATTGTAGAATTGCTATTTTATTTATTATATAGCTATACTAGAAATTGCATCACTAAGAAAGCTAGATGGATTACTATCCTATAAACAAAATCTAAAAATGTTTTATTTATTTCAACTGTAGAATAATCCTTAAATGTAGGATATAAAAGTTCCATTCCTCTCACAGTAACTATTATGATTCACCTGCATCATTTTGATGTGAATATAGACATTTCATTATCTTTCTGGAGTGGTATTTAAGCATAGTTGTCCTAGAGACTAATTAATTCTTTGTGATTTTTTTTAAAAGATTGTTTAATATAAAAGCTGTGCAATAGCTTACCTGGGGCAATAGTTTCAGGATTGGGTGGACCCCTTGGATCAGGTGTATTAGGAGGTGTCATTGGTGCATTTAGATGACTAGGTTCCATGCCATGAGCATCCAACTGGACACACTGTATGATCTCATTGCGCTATAATTGAATAGGAATAAGAATCACATCTATTAACTGCAAAAGAGATGCCAGAGTGTGTCTTGGCTATTCAGCTTTCCCTAACTCAAAAAGTGATAGTGTAGCTCAGGGGTGTCAAACTCAGGTCATCATGGCAGCATCACATGATGTATTGGGACTTTTTCCCCCTTCGCTAAACCAGGTGTGGGCATGACCAGTGCGTGACGCATCTGGCCCATGGGCCGGGAGTTTGACAGCCCTGGACTGTAGCTGGTCTTTTTAATTGCTTTCTAGCCATTTTTTTTTTTTGCCTCTCTCTCTCTTTGTACTTTAGTGAGTATGACATGATGATCTGGATTAACTGGTTAATTACTACTAATGTTGAATGGATGCTGGGGTATGGGGGGAGGTGCACAGGGTTTAATTGGCTTGCAAACCTACAATGAAAACTATCTGACATGCTGAGAATGATAGGCTTCTAGTGCTCTAAGCAAATAACTTTATCAATAATTTTCTGAATGAAATATCTATCATAAAAGCATAATCAATAGCCTCTATTTTAGGACCTTCTTCATAGAGATACTACAAAACCACTAATAGGTGAAATGGGAGAACCACACAGTGGTTTCATTGAGATATTGGATTCTATCTAGACCATTCAAGCTAAGCTGATCAGAAATCTTTAGTTCTTTTATGCATAAGAGAGTTTACATTTTCCAACAATTGAAGTCCAGACTAAATATAATGCAAAGGATACATAGATTTTTAAAATATCATTCTGCTAAAAGCAGTTGTAAGTGGTCTGATTTAATTTGGAACTAGATTATTGGGAATAGGTCTGTTTTCTGTATATCATGGACCTGATCGAAATTGCTCTCTTGAAGTTAACACATGCACTTCTCCTTTCACATTACGTCCTGATCCAAAATTATACCCCAGTTTGCTTTTGTCTAAGAAAAAGATACTGGGAAATTCATTTTGACATCTCACATATCCCATTTAAGAGAAAGTCATATAGAGCTCTAAGCAAGAAAGTGTCAACACTTACAGAAACTGAAAAAGTTGTTACCATATACTCTTTACAGAATTATAGTTCAAATGCAGCTGGAGATTTACATTTGGCTTTAAAAATCAGGACATTTCTATTGATTTTATTTTATTCAACATCACATCCATAAAGAATTTTCTCAACATTGTTTCAATTGGCAATCATAATAATAACCTTAGTTCTGGCTACCGCATGAAGATTAAAGGCAGGGTGGGATTATCCACTCTTTCTACTGGCTCATTAATTCCAATAGTGCATCCCAAACCTTATTCATTGTTTTGTTAACATAGAATTATAGCAGTCTAAAATGTCAGATGCTAATTTTAGCCATGACATTGAAATGAAAAAAATTATTACATACAAGACTGTGTTAAAGTACAATTTTCCATGGATAAGGGGAAAAACTGAAACATGAAGAAACAGAAGATTTAAAAATAAGTCTTCTATAGAAAGGCTGACACTGATTCAGGTATTTCATTTTTTCAGAATTCATAGACTAAGAGAAAGTATTAAGATATGGGCATCAGAGTTTTAAAAAGGAAAGGAAATGCACACACACACACACACACACACACACACACACACACAAAGCAGTGGTAATCACACCACCCCTACTGCATTAAGATTAGCATTGCTGCAATCATATGTCTCATTAGTTTGGAACAAGCATCATTAAACTCTCTGGAACTTATTTCTAAGAACATACTTCTGCAAAATGAACCCCTGCCTCCTGATTCTCTGATTTCTTCATACCAAGTCTAGATGATCTTAGATCACAGGTTACAGTTTTCCTCCCTAAATCAGAATCTGAGGGCTAAAAAATGTTCTAGCCAATCCCTTGATTATGTATGATCTATAGAAGTTTCCTTTTTAAGTTGTATCACAGCGTACTTCAAATATGCACCCTTTATTTTGAATTTGGTTTTAGTGTGTCTTGCTTTTCATATTCTGAAAATATTAAAGACATTGCAAAGTGAAGTAGAGTATAGAATTCTGCTATATGCATTTGATATTTTTACGGATGTCAGAGACTTTTTTTGCTGTTTGGATTTGAATTTTGATTTTTTTTAAAAATGGACTTTTTGACCTGACACTTTACTGCTGGAAATTCCATAACTATCAATATTGAAAGAATCAGTTATGTTTCCTAGGCATTTTTAATGTACATTTTTATTAGAAGTAATTTTATTAAAAATGTATTAATTCTTTATCTGGATTTGCAATAATAAAATTCAATGTCATTTTTTCAAATAAGTAAAAGTTTACTTAAAATGATATTTAATTTTATTTTGATCTTAAATAAAAAGTTAGTGCAACATAAAATATTTTATATATAGGTAGTCCTTGATATATAAATAAAAGATTTAATATGAGAAGAAGAGATCATTTATTGTATTTTAAAATAAGGCAATAAGTTACTAAACTTATTTATACTTGTTGTGATGGAGGGGAAATCATTTCTTTATATATATTTTTTCTTTCTATTTTCCTATATTTTTCTTTTCTGAGCTTTCTATTTTTCTTTTTATTCTTTTAGTTTGTATTAGTTTTTATCTTTGTAATTGTAATTTTTAATAAAATTACTATTAAAAAAGTAAATGCTAGTTTCAAGGATTATCCCAGCAAAATATAGAATTCAATCCCAGAATATGCTTGTAAAGAAGCTCAGAGGTATAAGACTATCTACATTTTATTATGAAATCAAAGTGCATCTGTTTCTCATTTGTGGTCTCAGTCCTCACATTTTTGCTTCAATGTTTGCTTCTGCTTAGTGAGATTGAATTTCTAAGTATGCAAAGAATAATATTTTGTAACAGGAAAGATAATGTTTCTTTTCGTCAAACAGAAATATCAGACATGATCTTCCTGAAATAATGAATGTATACAGTAAGATGTGCTAGCATTTTTGTAATTCATCTATAGAGTTCCAAGGATTCATTCTAAGATCCAAGGATTAAACTAGATGTTTACTTGGCAAGTAACTGTATTCAAGTTTGGTGATGGTGAATACTCTTTTTTGCTATTGACCATTATTTTGAATTAAATGTCCTAAAACTATAGGAAATCCTTTCAAAGTAAGTGATGCCTATAAGCCGATCTACTTTCTGACACTTGGAGCTAAGTCAAATGACTAAATCTAGAAACTCACCAGTTACTCAATAGTATTTTGACAAATTAAGTCCCTAATCATTCATCTTTACTGAGTTTAGGAACTCATGAATTTTCCTAGGACTCTCATGCTTCCTTAGAACAGAAAACTAAATAAAATACTCACATTTCTTGGTTTGCTAGATAAAAAATGAAGATTTTCATATGTGTACTTGTCAGATCTCCTTTGCCGCATTTTGAACAGCCTTGCTCCTCGATTACTGAGCAGTGATAGTTCTTCCAGCATGATATCCCTGGGGATGCTAACCTTTTTTCCAAGATCCATTTGAGGGAATTCTACAAAATAAACATATTTCTATGAGAATTCTCTTAAATTATTGCTATGATTAATATGATAATAAGTCAATTTCAATGGTAGATTATTTTTTCCCACTAATAAAGCTGACTAATCACTTTCAGATAAATCCCAATTCAAAAGACTACCTTTAGACAGATGAATAAAATAAGATATTATCTTTGCAACACTATATCCTGTTAAAGGTATAGAAGGCAATTATGGCAAAACCTTAAATTTGAGAGAAGAAATAGTAACAAGGTTGCTTCTTACATTTATGAAATCCGTTCTTTTCAATATATCAATTTATTGCTAATATACATCAAAATCATAATTACATATATCCATACCAGTAGGATTTGAGGTATAGGAGATGCGAGAATTTCATGGAGGAAAGGTCCATCACTGGCTATAGAAATTTGTGCACTATGGAATTTTACGTTCAGAAGTATGTAACCAGTTATTGGGGGCAAACTGTCTAAGAGGATAGTTATGTATTTCCAGAGACATCTATTTCATCAGCAGGATAATGGACTGTTTGAATATCCACTGACTGCTGCAAGGGTATTTGTGGATATTGAAATGAATGATTTTTTAAAAGCGTTCTCTTTATCATGTCTAATATTCTAAAGCGAAAATATACAATTTCTATTACAGGTTGACCTATTCTCCAATGTAATGTATTTTATTGCACAATACAAACTCTTTATGCATTCAGACTTAACCAGATTTTGCAAACAGACTTAAAGTGATATTAATATATCCTTCATTCTTGTTTCCCTCCTGAATCAAAATGTGGAAAATGGCAGCATCTTGATTTTACTCTGGTAAACTTTTTTCCTGGGTCAAAAGTGGCCCAAAATTTATTAAGTGCCTATTATTGTTCTTACATTAGGCTTAAAAACAATTCCACATTCAGAGAGGTCTAGCAGAAAATATGTGGATTTGTCTGCCTTCTAGTTGTACTACTTCTGTTGTAGCATGTCTGTTCTGTAATATAAGGATTGGAAGGGTAAATTTGGCCAATGGGATTATTTATTGAAGTTCCACATTAGAATGTGGATGTTGTAAAGTATATTTTTTTCTCATCAACTTAAAAACCCGCTTGTGAGGTGAAATGAACAGGACAAGAGTTGTTTATAAAATTGAATTATAATATATTTGATGCAGTGGAAACTTTTATAATATATCCACCCACCAATCTAAACCTTACAAGCGTAAATGGAATTCTTACATTAAAATACTATCATGTAAAATGGTATGGAATTTGAGAAGATGGAAAATCACATTACCAGCATGATTTTATCATCATATTAAATAAAAAAAAATATGATTCCAGATCTTCTATATCACATCTAGCATGGACCCCAGATTTGTTTAAACACTACTACTGATATTAAATAAAGCCTTGGGAGTTGGGTCAAGAGCTGGTTGCCCTAGATAAAATTTTAACCTTGCAGACAACAAATTATTTCAATTTTTAAAGAGAAATATAATATAAATTACTTATTTTTAATTTATTAATAATAATGTTTTAAGTTATAAGATTCAATTTCACTTGTAGTGCAGATGGAAGTTTTTTGTTTAATGTTTAAAGGTTAAATTCCAACAGTAACTTGAACAGTCTTAAAGCAAGGTAAGAAATTTTTGAAATTTAAATGTACAGGTATATTCATTTCTATTTGAACATGTGCACATATGTTTTAGGACAAGTTCCAAAATCAAACCTCAGTTCTGTTTTTTAACGTGAGAAGGAAGAGTAATATTTGGACTATTTATTCTGAGGTACACAAATCCCCTAAAATAGCATTAAATTCAGTTGAAGATTGTGTCATTCTTTGCTTTCAGAGAAAAGAAGGCCAGTCTTGATCAGCCAAAGACTTTCAGAATGCCATCCTAGTGATGGGGAAAAAAAGATTATGTTGCAAAATATTTCTTAAAATAAATTATCTGGGAAGTATGCCTTCTTGTTGTTGGATATAAGTACAAACGTCCTTGAGTGGGAGAGGCAGACACTGAAAGATAACAATGCATGTACTTTGCTTTTTAATTTAAAATTGCATATGTTTACACCTTTAAAGATAGTTTTAAGTCAAAGATGGAAACATTTTTTCTAGGAATTCTATAATACAGTGTCCAGACATTAGCCTCTCTTCAAAAAATATTCCAAAAGTCAATTCTAGGCAGAATATGCGTCAGCTGTTGAGTTACTTCATTCCTCCACAACAGTTGTTCATCTGAAAATAGCTTTCAAATGAAAAGAAGCCATTACAAAAGGATTCGTTACCATAGGCAGTGCAATAGCTGCATGAGATTATTTATGGCAACATACACAGAGGGAAAGCTATAGGAGAAATATTCTGTAAGACTAAAAAGAAGATGTGACACTAACATGGTAGCAGGTATTTAACTATGTACCATTTAGCTGGATCTCCTTCATGATGGCTGATGCTTGCTGTTTTCTCTCTTTGATCATGTCAGAATGTGAGAGCATTGTTGTGATCAGCAAAAAATTTCTTACTAGAAAAAAGAGAAGATAGTTAAATGTTATACCAACAAGTACATCTTCTAGTTTGTATTTTAAATCCCTGCTCCAGAAGTTTACAAAGGCTATAGTTCTAATCTGAGTTCTTGGCAAATTATACAAAGTATATTCTACGACGCTGCATATACACCTCAGAGCATCAACAGTTCCTTGTTAAACTAATTATGTGACAGGGTGAGGATTGGCCTTCTTATTTTTTTTTCTGTAGATGTTCATCTTTGCTGAAATATAGGTAATATTACCAAAGTAATATTTACCAAAGTGTATTTGTTGTCTCAATGCTATAGATATATCCTCAATTAACTTGAGTGATTTCCCTCCCTGTTTTCAGCCTTTAAAAAATAAAGTCTTCTGCAATTTCTATTAGGGGGCCCCTAGAAAATTAGTGAAGGCATCAATCTCTGAATTAGCCTCTATTAATAAGCAACAATATAGATAGAGAACCATCTTTGTAATGCAGCAGTACCTCTCTACAGTAAATTGCCTGTTCGTTTCTGCAAGCTGAAGCATTGTACTCATAGGACAATCAAAGTCATTTATTCCAGGAAACAATATGCTCACTTACCTTATTGTTCAAGAAAATAGTGGTCTTGATGCTTTGAGCAGGGTTTATGGAACTTGGTATGAATGGGGATGACCTATCCAGTCCTAGGAGGTTTCTATGCTTCTTCTAGGGTTTGCATGATGCCTAGTACCAAGACAAACTGGGGACTGACCCTCTTCAAAAGATTGGCATCTAGCTGACATAAAGTAGCTATTTATAGATGCAAACATCCAGCCACTCATATCTTCCTGGCAAAAGAAGAGAACAGAAATGATTCTGCTCCATGCATCACAAAAGAGTATGCATTTCTTCCACATGTTATTGAAATATTTGATAGAACAATTATACATGTACAGCTCATCCTGTCATCACCTTTGAGAATACTATTCTCTATGTTGTAAGTAGGCAGAAAGACATGTAAAAATAAGATCAACTAAGTGTATAGAAGAACTAAATGAATTGAAATGGAGTAATTCTTAGCTGACAGGTATAAAATGTTCCTGTAGTAATAGCTAAAGTTAATACTTGGACAAAAACCTTGCTAGATATTATTCAGTGTTGTCTGTACCGAAAAAGAATTCTCACACCTAAAAGTAAGACCCCACTTGTAATAGATAAAACTGTAATGTTAGTAGCATTTGACAGAGCATCCTTTCCTTTCTTTAAGGCTAGCTGTGCCACAACTTCAACATTAATGAGGAGGCTTACTTTTGTAGCTTTGTTATTCAACAGGACAACCAGACATGTTGATGTTCATTTCAGGTGGAAAA